TATATATATATATATATAACAATAATATTTAAATATATTTATTATATATGTAAAGTAAAATAAACTGTATGTAATAGGGATTAATTATTTTTAAGTAATTATTTTACAAACAAAAAACATGTATTTACAGGTAAAACAGTTATTACAGGTAAAACATGTATTACAGGTAAAACATATATATATATATATATTAAGAAACATACCACATTGCCTGATCACATTAAAATATTTTCCAGTTCTAAGTATGGTGTGTGCATGTTCACTTAGAAATACAGGTATCCTTTCCGGTCGCATGGTATATCGCTTTTCCCAGTAATCCGCAGAATAATCCATAGGAAGTTCCTCTATTTGAACCAATTCGTTATCTTCTACAAAAAACTGAGAAATATACAATATTACAAATTTGCTTACAACATAACATGACATGAGAATAGACTTATGACACTAACTTCCTGATATGGATCGCATATCACTCCTTTGTAAACCCACTTTTCTAATATTTGCATATATGGCATGCTCGCTGCTTGTATCAGATATAGACACAGTTCTTTGGATTTTGCTTCACCACTGACACTGTTTAATGTTTGCTCATGAAGAAGGCTCAATACTTTCCCTCCTTTGGCATTTGCCTAAAATTAACCAATATTGTATGTTGTATTTTATCTTTAATATAGAAAAAATAATTTGTATTTTCCATATGCATATATTTAGAGGATCGAGTTTAATTAAAATTATTTCATTAATATTCTGATTAACATTATTTTGTACTAATTAACATTATTTTATATTAACCTTGCATATTGTAGATGTGATCTGAGAAAGTATAGACATTGTAAGCATGGTAGGCTGAATGTAAAACCATAGCTTTTGCAAGCTTAATTTACCATGAATGTGTTCCGTCTCAAGTTGCACGACAAAGAGCTGAAAAAAAGCATAAAACATCAGTATTTACATATACATATTAAACTAAAGAAACATAAGTATTATATCAGACATGTATTTGACTTGTCTGTGAAAATGTTTAATTTACTATACCAAATAATCCTTTAACAAAGATCGTATAGCTCCTCTCAAAGCATGATTGACTTGTCCATCATCCGGTGAGACTTTCTCCTCAACAAATCTCACTGTCATAGAGTAATAGGATGCTAAAGGTAATATCTGTTGTGCTAACTGCTTAAATGATATACCTAAAAATATAGAATTTTTCATTCAATCTTTTTTTCTCTCTAATTAAAACTTCAGATTAAAATTTTTAATGCATTCCTCACCAACATCAGGTGATATACTAAAAGTTTTAACACCATAAGGACTTGTTAAAGGTTCTGAAATGATGTATGATCCATCTATTCCTTTCAAGCAATACAAAATATCCCATAAAAGTATAGACTCCTGAGATATAATCGGTACAACCTCTGTAATTATTTAATTATTTCAGATATGTATTTTTATTGTCTCTTACAACCTCTTGTATTTTGCGAAAAAATATTTATATACTTTGATAAAGTGTTGCAGCAGCATCACTGTGAAAATCCCAAGTTATACGTGGACGCTCTGCTACCCAATTATGTTTTGCTATAACACTGTCATTTTTCCAATTGACTGAACATACTTGCTGGTTTAATTTCTTTCCTCCTTCCACAGCAGCTTTGATTACAGTTTTGCAAATCTGTCAAGTATTTAAATAAATTGTACATACTATATGGCATACATTATATAAAAAGATAAAACAAACTTTAGCATATTTCACATTAAAATATTAAAACTTATATAATTTTAAAATACATCTCATACATACATATTAAAAATATAGTATTAATATATTATTACCTTTGGCAAATCTTCTTGTGTAATGGTTGGATCTTTTAAGGAACCAACTGATGATCTCGGTGCAGATTTTGAGAGATACCTCTTCAATTCTTCATCTTGCGATATTAACTCCAAAGTCTGCACGAATGGACCTAATAGATCTACTCTGAAAAAATATATCTTTTATTATCTCTCTGCACATAAATGAGAAAATATGTAATATAAATTGAATTATATTGCCTCCACTAACTTTTTGGATTTTAGCTCCTCATACTTTTGTAAAAATAGCTCTGGTTGGGGTGAAATTTTTATTAGATGCTGGATGCAACTGTGAGGAGCAACAGTGTTTAGTGCATTTGCTGTTATGCATTCTTTCTGCAGCTTCTCTAAATGTTCCTCAGGAGCAGATTCCGAGCTAGAAAGGATAATATTTATACATAAAAATTATTGTACACAGTATTTTCTATATAAAAATATGTATATTTAAATTTATTTTCAAATCTATAAATGTAATATTATAAATTGATTTTACAAATTATAAAACATTTCTTTTGTCACTTACCCTAATAAATCAATCAGCTGCGCAATCAAATGGTGTAATTTAAATTCACTCATTGTTCTTCAGAATACATAATTTTTATCTGTTTTTTGGAAAAGCGAGGGCCAGCTTCAGCGCCGCTTGTGCTCGGCTCGGATAGGCATGAAATAAAATCAGTCACGTGACAAAGAATGGAAACGCCATATTAACGGTACGTTTGGAAACAGCACTCGAGCATCGTTCTATCTTTGTTCAACTTTTAGTAAATAACAAAGATAGAACGACGCTCGTGTGCACACGGGTGATGTTTCCGAACGCAACCTAAAATCGCGCGAGCGCACGTGTGTCCTTTGACGAAGATATATCGCGGGAATATTTAAATTCTATAATATGTATAATACACATTTAACTTTATATTAAAAAATATATTACATTATAATTATACAATAATAGGGAATTATAATCAGATATTTTTAATTCTATAAACATAAATTCTTTTACAATATTGTATTGAACAAAATCAGAATTTCAAAAAATATTAAACAACATATAATTTATGTACTTAATCAATGTTGGAATTGTCTAACAAATATTAAAATCATATAATTTTATTATTTTGTTATAATAAATTATTAATAAACATTATAAACATTATAAACTATGATAATAAATTATTTATCTCTTTGAGGTGGTGTCAAGTAGTGCATCTCACAATAAACAAGTTGTTCAATTTCTGTTTCAACAATTTCAGTTTTTGTAACAATCCCTGTACTTCTGGGCATTATCAATTGATCATTTTTTTGCAAAGTTATGTCGGAGAAAAACTGATTTGTATTACTTCTGAAAATAATGCGTCAACGAAAATCATAAATATATTTTACTGCAGTTTTCTTCACTAGATATATTTGTACAATATGTCTAAACTAAAGTATACCTGCTGAAATCTGTATTAATATTATTAATTGTGACAGCTGAAGTAATCTTTGGAGTGCTAGTTATCATCGAGCATTTGGAATTGCTAACGGTAGCAACACTTTCAGACTGTTGTAGCTTTTCTGAAGTTGCACGCAAAACTTTGTTCTCATTCACAGACTTTTTAAACCGCTTTATTAAATTCTGATCTTCGTCACTAAACACACATTTCTTTTTCTTCGATAAATATGATTTGCTTTGCAAATCTCTTATACTATGATTTTCTTTGTTCTGCCTATTTGTATTTATATATATATATTTGAATATAGTACAAAGTACAATAACTAATGCAAATATTATATATATTAATTGTCAATTAGCTTTACATTTTATAATTCTTGTCAATAATTTCTTTCATATTTGAGAAGAATTGTTCATCATCATCTTCTGTGTCCTCCACAAGCATAATGTTAGGCTGCTTTTGTGTTAAATTATCTCTATGTATATAGGATGAACTTATCTCTCCTGTATATGTTTAAATGTTACAAAATATTAATAATAAAAGCATATAAAAAAGATTATATTAACTGTGATAATAATTTACCTGTTAAAGTAAGAGAAATGTTTCTATAATCAATATTATTTTCATTATTTTTTGCTGCAACAGATTGAGATGTTTTGTGCTGCGAATGATTGTTATTTGTTAAACGTTGTGGAATCAGTGGTTTTTTGTTTAGTAGTTTATTGTCACAGACACTTTTATCCATTATTGAGCAGAACCGGTTATACTTGCATAAAATTAATCAATAACTGTTGTAAGTACTTGTTCTTGCATCTACTTCTTTTGCATTTGGATACTTGGTACTTTTCTTTTTTGTATTAATAATTACATAATTAATAATTTTTATAATACATAATATATATTATGCAACATATTTAAAATTGATATTTTCGTGTCATATTTTTCATATTAAAAACTATTATTTTATCACCTTTTAAATTTTAAAATTTTATGCGATATACCTATCCAAAAACGTTGATTTATTTTATATTACATATAAAATTACTCAATCGTATTTGAAAAATTTCAAATATATGTGCTATAGAAACTTTAGAATTGGAATGATGTTTCCCTTTTTTTATAACAATAACTCTTCTAATTTAATAAAAGAGAAATTAAGAAAAATTAAAGTACGTAAAATATATTTATACTAAAATCATCGAGGAGCATAATCTCGTTCCTTTATTAAAGTATTAACGATAAGTGTAATGCGGTTACACTAGCTCTAGCTAACAACAAAAAGAAGAGATATATCTCGATCAGCTTATGATTGCAGTCGGGAAGACGCTAGAAATGCTTCGAAGCATTTCTAGCGTCTTCCCGACTGCAGCCTACGTCAGCTTATGCTAGGTCACGATATCACGAATGCGTGCGAAATCGCATATATATATTTCGTCAGATTTTGCTATAACCTTCGTCTGACTTTTTATTTTAACGTCCATTTTCGCGTAAACAAGATCGGATAGGATTTATGAGAATCTGCGACAGAGAATCATGCGATTCGTAACAGCGGTGAATGTGAAATTGCTGCCGATTCTGCGGCAGCATAACTCGATCGCGCGCTCCTTGTGCAAAGATCGCTCTTTTTCGGATCATCGCGTGCCGTTGCCAGCGTGTATCAGACCGCAATTAGCGCGAACGGAATATTTAGGGGGAAGATTATTGAGAAATACACGCGGACATCGCATTCATCCTGCGGTGGTGACGATGAAATTCTTCGCCACAAAAAGGTACTCTGATCGGGTTCCTCCGAGATAAAATAATTTTGTTTATTTTTCATAATTTCCTTAATTTCTATTCTATTTTTTCAACGTACTTAATCTTCATTAATCTAAGTAATTTTATTTTAAGTTGATTTATCTCTGTGTAACTATTTCTTAACTGTTAAACTTATTTTAATTCAGTAGAAATTTATCTTCTCATCTTTCATTAATTTCTCTTTTTAACATTATGTATTGAGATTTCATTATATTTCTGTATTATTGTAAGTATATATTTTATGAATTTAATGATATTGCATACTGCGATATGATAAAATAGCTAATAGCTATGATTATATGCTAGTTTTATAAAAACCTTGTTTCTCATTTCATGTATTTTGTTGTTTAGCAATGGTAATGGAGATCAACCTGGAGATTATGCTGGCTCTTTGCCTGCAACTGTGGTAGTACCTGAAGTATGGCCTTATGTGCCAGTCATCGCTATCAACAGAAATCCAGTGTTTCCTAGGTTTATCAAGCTTATCGAGATTAGTAATCCAATTTTGATAGATCTAATACGAAGAAAAATAAAGCTGAATCAACCTTATGTGGGGGTCTTCTTAAAAAAGACTGAAGAGTAAGTTCTTTCAAATATACTTTTGATATAAATTTATAACGCTAAAAGTGAAATAAAAAACAATAACGATATAAATAACATAAAAGAACCAGTAATGCAACTTTTAATTTCACATTTGTATATACAGAAATGAAGCTGAAATTGTTCAAAACTTAGATGACATTTACTCCATCGGAACGTTTGCACAAGTACATGAGGTGCAGGATCTAGGAAACCGATTAAGATTAGTGATTATGGCACACAGAAGAATCAAGATTGTTAATCAGATTTTTGACGATCCAGCTCCAAAGCCAGAACATAGTAAGAAAAATATTTAAGTAAAGCATTTCTTATGTTTTTTTAGTTACAATGAAAAAGATCATACTTTATAGAAATTTAATGTCTCATTATTATATAATTGATAAAAACGAGCCTCTTGTTTGCAACTGATGTGGTAACACTTTGCTCTTTTCGGTATTCTGTTAAAATATTGCCCTATCTACTGTACACAGAAATGAAACTGACGTTCCCATTATTAAATACTACAATTACCGTTCCTGTAGACGACACAATAAACAGCAGCAAGATAAGCCGGAGATCAATGCGGAAGAATAGAGCAGAGAATAGAGTTTCAGAGAGGATAGAAAAAGTCGATGAAATGGGCTCTACAGAAGTAAAACCGCCGGTAGATTCCTCTGAAAAAAGTACAGAGAAATCATCAAATTCGTTAGCACCTCAATCCGGTAGTCAACCTATATTAATGGTGGAAGTTGTGAATGTCACACATGAAAAATTTAAACAAACAGAAGAGATTAAGGTAACATATAAATGATATTGAAAACTAATTATGTAAATAAAACGAAATTAGGACATAAAACTGATTTTGTGTATGTGTGTGTGTGTGTGTGTCAATTTTATTATTTAAAAAACATTTCTTTTTGCATCACATATTTTAATAGAGTTAAATGTAACATTTTTTATCATTTTATTTTTCTGAATATGTATGTAAACATTTCATATATGAATTTAATATCGAACCTCAAACGAAATAGAACAATTGAAAATCGGTATACCTCATGAGAATAATTATTTTATTCGATCTTTTTTCGTCCATGTATCTCTTCTGTTATTTTTCGTTTATTTTTTGTCTTGCATTTTTGTACCAACAAATCTAAGTTTTGTTGCATTACTTTGAAATTAGTCGCGTAATTTTAAGTGTATTTTACATTATTTGATGATGTTGCATGCAAACATAATGTCAGAAACCAAAATACTTTTTAAATAGGCTTTGACGCAAGAACTCATTAAGACGATTCGTGATATAATCAGTATGAATTCTTTGTATCGAGAAGCATTGCAACAAATGCTGCATCAAGGGCAAAAAGTTGTGGACAATCCAGTTTACCTCAGTGATTTGGGTGCTGCTTTAACTGGAGCAGATGCGCAAGAGTTGCAGCAAGTCTTGGAAGAAATGGATGTAAGTGCATTGCTGCATTATTATATGGTGTGTGAAATTTCTACTTTGATGGAATATATTGGAATGGTATTTTTATTTGTAGATTTTAAAAAGATTGAGACTTTCTCTCGCACTTTTGAAAAAGGAGTACGAATTAAGTAAGCTACAGCAGAAAATCGGCAAAGAGGTTGAAGAGAAAGTAAAACAGCAACACAGAAAATATATTCTTCACGAACAATTAAAAGTCATCAAGAAAGAATTGGGGCTTGAAAAGGATGACAAAGATGCGATAGAAGAGAAGTACAGAGAAAGAATAAGACAAAAGACAGTTCCTAAACCAATAATGGATGTGCTGGAAGAAGAATTGAATAAATTATCCTTCTTAGAAAGTCATAGTAGCGAATTCAAGTATGTATTAAATATTAGCATTTGTCATAGAGTAAAAAAGTATGCTTTATATATATAATCTTTGTATTTTTTAGTGTTACGAGAAATTATCTAGACTGGCTTACGTCCATGCCATGGGGTGTGACAAGTACAGAGAATTTAGATCTTCAAGATGCCATCAAAATTTTGGATGAAGATCACTATGGAATGGAAGATATAAAAAAAAGAATTCTTGGTATAAAAATGTACTTTTATAAATACAGATATTACTTGAACAATATTATATATTACAAGTATCATGCTTTCATTGCAGAATTCATCGCTGTTAGTCAACTGAAAGGCAGTACACAAGGAAAGATATTATGTTTTCACGGGCCTCCTGGAGTCGGCAAGACCTCTATAGCTAAATCAATCTCTCGCGCTTTAAACAGGGAATACTTTAGGTTTAGCGTCGGCGGAATGACGGATGTGGCGGAGATCAAGGGACACAGGAGAACGTACGTGGGAGCAATGCCAGGCAAAGTCATTCAGTGCTTGAAAAAGACTAAAACTGAAAATCCATTAATTCTAATAGATGAAGTCGACAAGATTGGCAAGTATGTAATTTAGATGTAATCTAGATTTATGTACACATTACATGTATTATTTTACATTATATGTAAAACATATTTGATGTATGGAACTAAAAGTATAAAAGATTTAAGGAACATCTGTAAAATAGAACATCTTTTTGATATCTTTTTGATATTTTTTTATATTTTTTAAATTTTTGCCTCATTACGATATTTTTTAGAGGACACCAAGGAGATCCAGCATCTGCTCTCCTCGAGATGCTCGATCCTGAGCAAAATGCGAACTTCTTAGACCACTATTTAGATGTTCCAGTGGATTTATCGAAGGTCCTGTTTATCTGCACGGCAAATGTAATAGATACTATCCCAGAACCTTTGAGAGATCGTATGGAAATGATAGACATGTCGGGTTATGTCGCCGAAGAGAAGCTCGCCATCGCGAAACAGTACCTAGTTCCACAGGCTAGAACTGAGTGCGGTCTCAACAACGAGCAAATCAATATACAGGACAAAGCGCTTACAACGCTGATCAAATCTTATTGTCGAGAATCGGGAGTGAGAAGCCTGCAGAAGCATATAGAGAAAGTGCACAGGAAAGTGGCGTTTAAGGTCGTCAAGAAGGAGGCCAACAAGGTCGACATCACCGCGAACAATCTGCACGAGTTCGTCGGGAAGCCCATATTCACGCACGACAGGATGTACGAAGTTACACCTCCCGGTGTAGTAATGGGATTGGCGTGGACTGCCATGGGCGGATCCACTCTGTTCATCGAGACTGATATCAATAAACCGACGAACGGCAAAAAGTCCGACGGTACTGTCGAAGTTACCGGTCATCTTGGTGACGTGATGAAGGAATCTATACGTATCGCGATGACCGTGGCGAAGAATCATCTAAAACATGAGGATCCCTCCAATACGTTTCTCTACGATTCCCATTTGCATCTACATGTACCTGAGGGCGCTACTCCGAAAGATGGACCTAGTGCTGGTGTGTCGATCGCTACGGCGTTTCTTTCTCTCGCTAAAAATCAAGCTATTAGACAAGACGTAGCGATGACGGGCGAATTGAGTCTCAAGGGTAAAGTACTTCCTGTTGGTGGCATCAAGGAGAAAACTATTGCAGTAAGTAAAAATATAATCTTCCATTTATTACAACCAATTGTTATTCGATTTAATTTTAGTCAGTTATTATTACATAATGATATTAATTTAATACATTACTATATAATTTTCTTGGTTTCATATATAATTTTATTATAATACTATATATAATTTGGGGTACAAAATTAATAAAATATATATATATATTTTTTTTTTTAAGGCAAAGCGTGTCAATGTTAAATGCATAATTTTACCTGAGGAGAACAAGAGAGATTTCAACGACTTGCCTAAATATATTACAGATGGTCTAGAAGTGCATTTTACTTCAACATTCGATGATGTTTATCGTATATGTTTCGAACAAACGCACAAAACTAACCCTCTTCAATCTGAGAAACCAATTAGTACTCACATTTCATCCACACAATCAATATACAGTTAAATGTATAACAGTATACTGCTGACAAAATTTCTATTTTATATTTTATTTCTTGTATAGAATATAATAATATATTGGATTGTACGGAAAATTCGTTCCGTTTTTTACTAACGGATGAAGACCGAAAAAACGGCACAAACTTTCCGTTCAACCCAATATTATAAGAAAAGGTAATTCATATATTACTTAAAAAAAGACAAAAAAAAAAAGAAAGAAAGAATAGGAATAGATCATCTATGTGATCTTAAAAAGCATAATCTTTTGAATTAAACATATTCCATAAAATTAAAAAAAATATATTTTATATTATTAGTAATTCTTTGATAGGAGTATAGGTATATTTGGATATACCCTCAAAGTGTTTTCTATATTTGTAAATAACACGAATATTACTCTATGAACAATAAGCAATTATTTTAGTGATATAATTACTTATATTTATTTATAAATAATATGTGTATATATTATTAAATACAATGTTATAATTTAAAAAAAAAAATTAATAT